GTTACCAACATCTGGTGAAAATTTCATGTCATTAGCACCTCTAGTAATATATTTACTGAGAAAAATGTTGACGTGTTCAATACTTATTTTACCTGCTGTATGTATTACAGCGAAATCATTTGTTTAAAAAGCTGCTTTAGGTGAATAAGAGGCAAAAGCATGATGTAGAAAAACTTGTTAGCTTTAACTAACTGTCACAGCCTTTTGAGAACGATTTGTTTCATTGACGAGGTGTCTTTGAACGCACCGTAAAGCCACTAATAAGGCAGCTATATCAACCACAAGCGTGATTTATAAACGGAGAGAGCAGATTCGTGACGCAGCTCAATAGCACGTGGTACATGTCTGATTTAATGGTTTCATTAAGATGCAACGTTGTCGTTTCATTTATTTCTGATCACATCTGATCGTAGTTCAGAACCGATGTGCTCTGGCACCGTAACGCAGGAAACTGTCTCAACACAGATGCAAAAAACACGGAGACGAATGAATAGAACATAAAAAATATGAATGTGATGATGAATAAAATGTCTGCAATATCAGGTCTGTTTTTTTATTTCTATTATGTAAAAATGTTTTTAAAAATTATATCACATAACATACAGTATATATGACTATCAAAGACAGGAAACAGTAAAATAAGACCATGAGGACATTTTAAATCTAACGCAGCTCCTTGTTTTTTAGTGTAAAATTAGAATTTTAGCCTTTCTTAGCTAAAATAAACACCTCAAACCAAGTAAACTGGTCAAACAGTGACTTGATTATACAGCTTCACTTCTTCTAAAACGTATTTTTTGTTGCTGTCAGGCAGTTTGGCTTTACTTGCAGCAGGCTTTCTTCTTCATGGGCCGGGCACTGAGGATGACTGTTGTAGCTCTCACTCTGTCCTCCTGCTCCTTCAACACTCTGCAAAAAAACAAGAAAGGATGCTGCATGAGTCCACCCTGTTAGGACCGCCAAACATGTCCCATCTGATGACCAGTCGGCAGTGGAACAGCATTCACCTGGCCAGGTGGGTCAGGGACTCCGTCACGTTCTTGCCGTTGAAGGCGCTGACCTCAGAGAACATGACTTTTTTCTCCTACACGGGATATACACACCAACACGAGTCAGACCCACAAAAACTCTCAACRATGCTGTTTTTGAGTAGTAAAAACTGGAACTCCTAAAGATAAGAACCTGCATCCGTCTGTCACAAGAAATCAAACTTACTAAATATTTGATCCAGWTGTAATTTGACTTACAAAAGCCAAACGCTCTGCAGCTTTACACGACACCTCCCTCTCCCTTTCCATGTCCATTTTGTTGCCCAGCAGGAGAATGGGGACCCCTTCACCTGCTGCTTCCTGTGAGAAAACAAAAAGTTGCATTTCTGATTTAAAGACTTGCCTTTGAAAGCTTGCATGACGAYATAGCAAACATTACCCCTGAAAAGAAATTCCTACTTTAATCGGGTGAAAGAGCGACAGAACAGATCCAAGTGTGGCCACAGGATGAATGAAGCGGAGTACAAAACGGTTCACCTGCACATTGAGGAGCCAGGGTCGCACGGCCTTGAAGCTCTCCAGCACGGTGATGTCATACATCAACACCACACCGTCGGCCTTCCGGAAGAACTGTTTGGTGATGCTGTGGTACCTGCATAAATGCCAGGGTTATTTGATGAACACCATGTGTACCTTTCAGGCTTTAAGTGCTTTGCAGATACAGGAAAATGCTTTAAATAGAAAAAAATACATCTATACAAGTGCATTTAGGTTTAGGTACATAGTGTTTCATTATWTTTCAACAGAAAGTTAAATAGTACCCCTCACCTTTCTTGACCTGCAGTGTCCCAAAGCTGCATGGCTATCTGCATATTATCCAGGGTTAACGTCTTCACACTGTAGTCAACACCTGATTGGGACAGTTTTTTTTAACATTTAATGGATATTTAACGGTATGCATGCCACTAAATGGTAAAAATATGGGAATAAGTCAGTGATAAGGCTAAAAGAGAGGGAGAGGAACTCAACAAAAGTTGCTGTACAATATGTGCCAGGCAGCGGGGCTTCACAAGCCTTTTCATGTGATGTTTAATCCGGCTTTTGATTGTCGTTCAAAGTTTCCACAAAAAAAGCATGTTTCTTTTTTTTTTAATCGGTTAAAACTCCCCCCTCTGATTGCCTCCGCACAAAGACGCAGATGTCATTTAGCTCTCCTCACCCACGGTAGCAGTGGTGGATGGGTGGAAACGCCCCTCGCAGAAGGAACGCAGCAAGGAGGTTTTCCCCACGCTGGAGTTTCCAACCAGGACCACCTTAAACAGACGGTCGGGGACAAACGGCTCTCGCTCTTTTGTTTTCTGAGAAAGCAGAACGGTTAGTCGAACCGAGAAAGAAAAAGTGAGGTGGATTTAAAGCTGGTAATTTACCTGCGGGGTCTCCTTCCCAACAGGTTGTCCTCTTGGAGACACGTGGGTTCTGTTTATGAAGTGGGTTTTCTTCACAGAGGCTGCAGTGTCAAGCCTAGAATCATCCTCACTCACCCCTTCCTCCTCACTGAGCTGCCGCGTTAAGGGCTGGGGTCCGCCATGAAGCAGGTGAGGCAGGTGGTCCTCCTCGATGGAGATGACTCGGCGCAGGGGCCACCCGTCTGCCGGCGCATCCAGGACCTCCTCCTCCCTCTCGCTCTCTGTTTTCTTTGTCCTTTCCTTGTTTTTCGACAGCTTCTTGGCGGTTTTGCCCGCTCCGGTCTTTGCCTTCCCGTCGTGCACCTCAGGCTGAGCGGGGCAGACGTCACCGTTGGCTAAGCTGGATTTCTTCTTCGCCGAGGGCCGACGCTGACGTTTAGTTGGGGTAGCAGCAGGGGCGTCGTCTTCACTGCAGGAGGAGGAAGCAACAAAGACGATTTGAAGGTGCTCTACGGGCAAGGCCTCCAGAGACTGGAAGGACCCGTCCACCAACAGYGGGGCTCTTTAGGGACAGAGGACAAACAGGATATATTTGAAAMCAAAGTCAGAAAGGGTTTTGTTTTTAAAACGCTAATTTGGTCMGTTTTTGTCCTTGTTTAGCATCAGATATCCTCTGTTTTCCCTCCTTTTGAGCATGATTTCTACACCCGAGTTCGTTTTTTGTGCAATAAACAGTAACAAGTGTGATTTAAAATAATAAATTATTTAAAATAATAAATAAATAAAATACCTTTTTGCTGGATGGGTGGTGTCAAACAAATCACCGAGGTCTGCTCTCTGTGTCTGCTTGTGTCTGAGAGAGGACTGAGGCTTGTTTAAACAAAGACAAAATGTTTTACTTTAAAAATCAGCTGATAATTAAGGACAAAGATTAAACGTGCAAAAGACTTGACTTACACCGCAGCAGATGTCTCGCTCGTCCTTCAGATGTTTGTTCATCTCTCTGGAAAGAATCAAAGCTGAGGACTGAACCGTGACGATGAAAACTCAAAACCCAGATTTGGACCAGACTCGGCTTACCTGAGGAGGTCGAGCTGCTTCATGAGACTCTGCTTCTCCCTCTGCAGACCTTCAGTCACTCTGTACATTTCCCTTAAACACGAGCGACTCGTTTCAGTGAAATTRCAACTAAAGCACGCGGTTTATAACAAGGTTCAGATGTGTAGTGTTTGTTGGTTTGYTTGTACCCACATCTCCTTGTCGTGCTGCAGCCGGGCGGCCTGCTCCTGCAGCGCAGCCAGCTGCTCCTGGGCCAGCRTCAGCTCCTGGCTGCTGCTCTCCAGCGCTCGGGACAGCTCGTCGTTGGTCATCTTCAGCTTGATGTTCTCCACRCGGCTGTCGTGCTTCTCGCTGTTCAGCTCGTGGCACTGGAACTCTAACTGCCACAAATGGAGGCGTGCAGGGGATTTACGCTTCGACGCAACAACACATGGTTTGCAATTGAAGTTTTACTTCTCACAGTTAAAGGGGCAAAATCATGCAAAATCAACTTTTTTGAGTTTAATATCATGTTATAATGTTATAGTCTCATAAAAAACATGCCCAAAGCCTTGCTTTGACTCATTCATGCAAGTTTGAGAAATCCTGCAGCGTTTTTAGGCAGCCATGCTGAGG